ACTAATTATGATTGACAAATGTAGTTAATTATAGTATCCTATAAAAATGTATGTCACTTTTCCTTTCACCTTATCTAGTCATTAATTTTCATTCCCTTCTTCATCACTTCTCATCTCTGGTATCCACCTATGGTGATTCTACTTGTGTGTAAGCCTTTCCTTAGCTTTTTTTAATAGTCTTATAATAGTTCTTAGCTTTTCATAATAGTCTTACACCATATTAATCTTTTTTTTTACTTATTTTGCTTAGCATAATGTCTTCTTGATATATTAGTTTTATGCATTGTTTCTTGAATTGTTTTTTTAGTGTTGCATACACAATAGTACATTCACAGTACTCCATTATGTAAATGTATTGTATTTTCATTAGCCATTCATCTGTTAATACATACTTGGGTTGTTTCCATCTCTTTGCTATTGTAAATAATGCTGCAGTGAGCATGGGTGTGCATATATCTGTGTTACAGGTCTTATTTCTTTGGGATATATACCTAATAGTGGAATTGCTGGATCAAATAATTCTATCTTTGGCTTTATATGGAAGCACAAAATGGCTTTCCATAGTGATTGCACTGTGTACATTCTTGATAGCAGTATATGCAAGTTCAATCTCTTCATACCCTCTCCAGCATTTGGTGTGTGCTCTTTTGTTGGATTTTACTGTTGTTGCTGGTGTGAGATGGTATCTCATTGTTTTGTATCTAATAGCTAGTGATCTGGAGCACTTGATGTGCTTGTTGACCATCTGAATATTGTCTTTGATGAAGTATCTGTTCTTGTTCACTGACCATTTTGTAATTTGTTTTTTCTTGTTGAGTTTTCTGCAAGTCCTTCATCAGATATGTCATTGCCAAATATTTTTCCCTAGCCTGTAAACTCTCAGTTTACTCTTTTGGAGAAGTCTTCTGAAGCACATAATGATTTAAGAGGTTTAAGATTTTTTTAAGAAGTCCTTGTTGCCTAGAGTTTCTACTATTAATCAGTTTCAGTTCTTTTTGTAGGCCATATTTATGCTATAGGTTAGGGCTTCTAAACATATTTTCTTTAATGATCTTTATAGTTTAGGTTTTTACATTAACACCTTTGGTACATCTTGAGCTAGATTTTTTTATATGGTGAGAGGAATTAATATTATTTCCATTTTCTGCAATAAGGTATTTTTTAAAATTTTCTACAAGTTTATTTATGAAGTTTGGATACAAATTTGAGCAAATTCTTTTAATTTCCCTCACTCCCACCCCCATCAAATTGATGATTATTTCCTCCTCCCCCTGCACATCCACATCCCTCTGCTTCCAGCTTCTCCCACTCCTCCTGGCTCTTTATACTTATTCTACAATAAGGCGTTTATACAATATTTATCCTTGTGGGACTGAATTCACTCAGCCTAATGCTCTCCAGTCCCTCCCAAGTTAGGTAATAATTTACAAAATCATTGCTCCTGCATTCTGCTTAGTACTCCATTGTGTGAATGTACTATAATTTCTCAGTCCATTCGTTTGTGATTGGGCATTTGGGCAGTTTTCACTTTCTTGCAATGATGAATAATGCTGCTGTGAACATTGGTGTACAAATTTCTGTTTGTGCCTTAGTTCTCATATTCTCAGAGTATATTCCAAGTAGTGGAATAATTGGGTCATATGTAATTTCTATTTTGCCAGCATCATTTGTTAAAGAGGCTGTCTTTTTTCCTACTTAATAGATTTCAACCCTTTGTCAAATATCAGTTGTCTAGAGTTGGATGGCTTTATTTCTAAGTAGGGCAGTCAGTCTCTTACTAGCTACTAATAATAGTACTGTTTTGAAATTTTTGCTTATTTAATGTAATTTTAAAATTCAGTCTGTTACAATATGTTTAAGTTGTTATTCTTGTTAATATTGACAGTGTTTTAAATCTCAACAGGTCATATTTTAGCTTGGTCCCATTAGTTTAAGAATATTGCCCTCTGTTGTAACATAAAAAATATGTTTTAGGCTTATCTTATTTTTTCCCTTCCCCAAACTTGAAATCAGTGGTTTTTGAAAAATTCATTCATTCTTTTTTAATGGAGAAATGCTCTGGACCCTAAGTATGCTTATTGCTACTAAGTGTCATTGCTTTTAGATTCTTCCCAGCATACATATTTTATTTATATATATGAAAGAAAAATATTAATCGTCATTTGAGTTTAAAAAAGATGAGCTGTAATTTGCTGTCATTTAATGGTTATTTAAAGTATAAATTGGTTCGCTCTGAGAAATATTTTTCATCTTTTATAACTTTATATGATTATCAAAGTAATATAATCTTTATAGATTAGCATGAAGAAGAAAATAAAAATCATCTGTAATTCTAATGAATAACATTTTGGTATGGATCCTAGTCATCTCATGCAAATGTTTATTTTAGTGTATCGAAAAAAATGATGTCCTGCAGTAGGTTGTAGGTTGTCTTCATTTAAGAAAAAATGTCAGACTTTCTGATGCTCATTTATTTCTTTTAGGACAGCAGCGTTCTCGAATGCTTGCTACTCTTTTTAAAGATGAAAGGTGCCAGCAACTTGCTGCTTATGGGATCCTAGAGAAAATGTACCTAGATAGGATCATCAGAGGAAATCAACTTCAGGAATTTGCTGCCATGCTGATGCCTCACCAAAAAGCTACTACAGCAGATGGTAATGATCATGCGTTATAATTGGGTGGGTTCACTATGAATCAGAACAGATTTGATGGCATTGGTGAAATACTTAGATACAGACTAGTGAAACACATACTACATTTGACACATCTAAATGTCTTTCTGTAGTGTTTTTATGTAAGGTTTGCTAATGTTTGGGTTGAAAAAAGAAAAATAAAGGTGGATTTAGAGAATAGAGTATAAAAAATAGCCCTATTTTAAAGCATCTTGGCATAATGAAGTTTTTAAAAACTGTAAGGCAGAAAAGTTATATGCTATGCCAAATAGTGCTTTCTTCAAACATTCAAATCTTTTAGTAAATAAACTTAAGCATCAAGTTATAACAAAACAGTGTTAAGGAATTGAGCTGCCAACCCAGAGGTCTGCAGTTTGAATTCAACTACTCCATAGGAGAAAGAGGAACATTCCCCAGTGTGATTTACTGCCTCAGAAAACCTGCATGGAGGTTCACCTGGGGGTCAGTTTTGACTTAGTAACAACTTTAGATAGAGCAAAAAATTGTCACAGTTTTTCAGTTTGGATAACTTTGTGGAAGTCAGAGTGCCTTTTCCAGGAAGGAAGTTTTTAGTGCCTAGTCTATACCACTGATTGTACTTGTGTTGATTTATATATTGTCTACAAAGATTTTAAAGCAGCTTCTAACACATGGTAATAGAAATATAGCTGAAGTCATTTAGAAACATGGAAATGGTAAAGATAAACATGAAGTGTGATAGACTCACTGTCATTGTATAGCTAAGATAATTTGGTTGTAAAGAGTCATTTATGTAGGTTTCAGAAGGATTTATGGGTCACTCCTGCTATCCTAAGTTAATCTAGATTCCTAAAGGGATGAAATAGACTCTCTGAAATTTTTTATTGACTCTTGAGAAGCAATCTAGTTGATAAGTCCGGGGTTCATCTATGTTGTAGGATTTATAGATATAACATTTCTTTTTATTGTTAAGCAGTATTTCATTCTATACATACATTACATTTTATTTACTCACTCAACAGCTAATTGGCATTTAACTTTTTCCACTGTTTGGTTACTATGAATAATGTTACTTATAATTTTTGCTCAAATTTATATGAAAGTGTAGATACATATTTTCATTTTTTTTCTTGGATATATAACTCAGTGAAATATCTGGGTCACATGTTAAATTCTGTACTTAAACTTTTAAAAAAGATGTAATTTATTTGATACTGTTGAGAACATACACAATAAAATTTATACCAGTTCAAGTTTCTACAAGTAGACTTCATTGGCTTTGATGATATTTTTTGAGTTGTGCAACCATTCTTCACCTCCTTTTCTGAGTTTTCCTCTGCTACTAACACAAGTTCAAGTTCCTCCTGAGGTTCTTTTCTAATCTTTTGTGTTGCTGTTTGCACTTTGACCTCATATACATAGATTCTGAAAACATAATTCCCAAGGCAGACACATTCTTTACTGATTAATTGAAATTATTTGGTTTTAAGATTTATTTGGATTTAACTTTTGGATAAGGTGTAAGAATATCTTAAGGTAATATTCTATGTCTAACCTTTTTTTTTTTTAAATTTTAATGAAAGTTTACAGTGACTTTGGATTTCCATTCATTCATTGTTGCACACTTTCCTCCCTGCCCGCCTCTCCCCCGCAGTTTACTTTTCTCTTTGAAAAGTAAAAAAACATTAAAGAGTATGTTACAGGAATTAGCAATAAAAGTTTCAGTGACTTAAAAAAATAATTCTTTCATTTTTATACTATTCCCCCTCCCCCCGCCTCCAGTCCACTCCACTATTCAGCTTTCATTCTGGACTCTTGTCATGACAGTATTTATAATTTTTTAAGAAACAACCACACTTTTTTCAGTGACTTTACGATTTTATAATGCCATTAAGTAACAGATAAAGGTACCAGTTTTCCACACCCTCACCATTTTTTTAAATAATAGTTACCTAAATGAGTATAAATTGGTGGTATTCCATCGTAGTTTTTTGGTTTTGTTTTTTTTTAATTGTTGCTGTTGTGTACTGTCAAATTGGATCAACTGGCACAGGAGGAGACTATCCTTCCTTCAGCGGAGCATCTGGTGTATTAGAACACTGTGCCTCTGGGAATGCAGTGCAGCTTCTTGTCACTAGGCCACCGGAGCTTCCTCCATTATGGTTTTGAGTTGCATTTTCTTAATGGCTAATGATATTGAGCACCTTTTCATATGCTCATATGTTTTTTGACCACTTATATATCTTTTTTTCCCATACACAGTTAAGAGTTTGCTTCTTGGTTCTTGCCTGCCTTGCTAGTTTAAGCTAGCTTGAACTGACTTGTGAAGGTAATTGTTATAAGGTGTATTGCCTCTGTCTAGAGTGTGGGTTTGGTTGTATATCTTCTTGATGCCCTATTTATTTGATCTTTTGCTGATTTTTAAGTTGAACTATTTCTTTTTATTATTGAGTTGTAATATTTCTTTATATATTCTAGATTGTTGTTGTTAGATGCTACCGGTCAGTATCCACTGATAACAACTATATGCACACCAGAACATTACCTCTTCTTTAACATCCTTATAATTGCACTGCTTGAGTCCATTATTGTGACAGCTATGCCATTACATCTAGCTGAGGGTCTTATTCTGTTTTATTGATCCTTTGCTTTACCAATTATGATGTCCTTCTCCATAGATGGTCCTTCTTGAGAAAATGTCCAAAAGTACACAAGGTGAAGTCTCTCCGTCCTCGTTTTTAAGGGAACACTCTGGGTGTACTTCTTTCAAGAAAGATTTGTTCACTCTCTGGCAGTCCATGGATTATTCAGCATTCTTCCCCAGGACCAGGGTATAAAAGGCATCAATTATCTTTTGGTCTTCCTTACTCATAGTCCATCTCTTGCATGCATATGAGGCAAATGAAATCATTATTTTCCCACATTATTATAGTATCATAATAGATACTGTTTAGATGTAAGATTTTTTTCTTCAAATAATTGCAACATTTTTTTCTCTCATCTTTCCACTGCCATCTAAATATACAATCAACATTGTATATTTAGTACCTGGGTAAATTGCTAAACTGTTACTGAGATATGTGGTTGGAGAAGAAAAGTCAAAGATTACATTTAAACATGCTGAATGTGAGATATATCTGAAACTTTCAGTGGAGATGTTGTTTAGATCGTTGGATGTGTGAATCTGAGGTCAGAAGAGAGATTTGAATTTAGAGATAAATTCAGGGCATTTATCAGGATTTTAGTGGTGTTAAGGTAATCCAGAAGGAAAAACTTCCGTAAAATAGAGGGTCAGCAAAAATGAGGACAGCAGTGGCCTAACCATAAACACAGACTATGAAGATGGCGCAGGATTGAGCAGCGTTTCATTCTGTTAGATGAGTCTGACCCAATTTGGTGACACCTAACAACAAGAGGGAAAAAAAATATGGGCAACAAAATCCAGAAACTCTAAGAACGTGGAGAAACAATGAAAGTTATACACGTGTTCAGGTCTTTCATTCATAGGGTCGCTGTAAGTCATCTGCAACCCGATGACACTTAACAACAACAACAATTAAGAGCAAGTAGGAGGAACCAGTGAAGGGGACTGAAAATTGCCACAGGTAACATGGTAGTTAGGGACCAAGCGAAAAGCAAGGGTGCTGTAAGATGGAGAGTTCTCAGCATTGTTGAATGCTCTGGAAAACACAGTAGTTCCTTTGATGCCTATGAATGTATCTTATCTCCAGTACCTTCCCTTGAACCTATTGATAAGCCTTCCCACTTCAGGGATAATGAGATGTCAGTGATAAGTTATTTTCCTCTTTGAAATCCCATTGCCTGACACATTAGGAGAATTTCAGTCTGTTTGTTAACTGATGATTGCTGCTTTAGCTTTATTGGAGGTTTTGGGTTTTATTCTTTCCCTTAAAATACGTAGTAAACACAAGAAAAAAAATGAAAGAGAATAATTTTTATAGATTTAGGGAGCTCAGGTGACCTAGTTGTGTTGCCAGCCTAAAGGTAGAGAATTAAAATTTACCAGGTGCTTGGCGAGAGATGGGTAGAGCAATCTGCTCTTTGCCTCTGAAAACCTTCTAGAGGGTCAGCTCTGAGCTGCTTCTGACTGGACAACAAATAACAACAATATTATATAATGTAATTTTTAGCCTGTAGCATGTATTCAGGGCCTATCTAACGTGCTAAAGAGCAAGGATTTCAGTTTTAAAGATAAGATGTACCTGATCCAAGCCATGATATTTTCAGTTGCTTCATATGCATCTAAGTTGGGACAGTGAATAAGGAAGACCGAAGAAGAATCAGTGCCTTTGGATTGTGGTGTTGGTTAAGAGAATTACATATCACACTTGGAGTACAAAAAGACCAAACAAATCTGCCATGTAGGAAGTGAAACCAGGTGTTCCTTATAGACAAGGATGGTGAAATTCATCTCACATAATTTGGAAATTCAGATCTTTCAGTGGCTTCACAGGAGAAAGATAGGTAATATCCTCCTGTAAAGGTTTAGAGCCTTGAAATCTAGTTCAGGGTAGCTGTTCATAGGAACCAACTTGTGGCAGTGGGTTTTGTATAGGCCAAAAATTTCTCAGGAAAATAAAGATGCATCTTATTAGAGAGTAAAAAAGAGTTTCAAACTTATAATCATGTGACATTTATTTAAGGTTCCAGCATCTTGGATAGAGCGGTTATTGAACACAATTTGTTGTCTGCAAGCAAGTTATATAACAATATTACCTTTGAAGAACTTGGAGCCCTTTTAGAGATACCTGCAGCTAAGGTATTTTCTTATCTTGACATGTAAAAATGAATTTAAGAAACTAAGCAATTGAAGTAGTGAGAAAATTAAAAGTATGTTTGGTAAATGTTGGAAACTATAGTAAAACATATACACATAGCCTCACATAAATGGAAGGAAATTATTTAAGTACTGTAATAGATTTATATTAACATTTTTGGTTTTTAAGTTAGATTATATAATGACATGACCTTGAATGGAGTTCTTAAATTATTCCAGATTAAGGAACACAATATTTTAGGACATTTACTTTATAGAGGTTGCCAATTAAGATTCTAAAAAATGCCTTACTTGGTTTTCATACTGTATATTGCCTTGAATTTAAATATTTTCTTTCTTTGAGAGTTGGGTAATACTCCAGGCTATTAGGACTTAATTTAGAATAGTGACTAATGACTTACAAGAGAATTTAATTTCATTCTTAGTCATGATAAGTATTTGGTTGACTGTGTATAAATTCCAGCAAAGTAGTAATAGTATTTGAAAAACATTTTAGATATAGTTCACAAAACATTCTTTAAATGTTAAATAATACTAAAGATAAATAATCAGTCTTACTTGGCTTACTATGTAGTTGTGGACCCCATTTTTTCTGGTAGTGAGATATGAATTAAGATTATTTTTTTTATCATAACTCTTTTAATTGTACACATTCAAGACAAGATGAAAGAAATTAACAGTTAGGCAAGAGTGTAAATTATCACTAAAAGAAACTTTCTTCTTAACTTTTGAGAAAACCTTCCCATGCTGAGACTAAACTTTGTTTACTAAACTCTGAATTATCAACACAGTCTTTGCAAGATTTATTTGGGATTGACTGTAAAGGTGATCAGAATTAATAAAAATAACAAGTAAAAATCTAGTTTGCTTTTGCATATTACACTTGAAATCTGTCTTTAGATGATAGGTTGCTTGCTTGCTTCCCTTTAAGTGTCACTTCAAAATCTCTTGATTTTTTTTTTTTAAAAAAGTATACTTGAACATCTGTGTCTCATTGAAAATTTTTCTTAAAAAATTTTGTTTCCTTAAAGAGTTTTTTGAGTGGTAAACACTGAGAAACTGAAGTGAAAGAAAATAAGAATAAACAGTTTTTTCTTCTTCTTTAGGGTAGAGCTATATAAATCCCAAAGAGGAAAGTTTTGAAAAGAGCATAGAATATTATTTAAAGGACACACTCAGTTCTTGTCCAGCTCAAATCTCTCAAGCAAAACAGATTCCAAGTAGCTTAAAATGCTAGGCTGTTTTATATGCTGCAGTTAAAAGTGATTAAATTACTAGAAATGGTCATTAAAAAAATACTAGGCTGTACTCAGAGCAGTGAATAGCATAGGTAGATGTAAAGACTTGTGGTAAATGGTAGGGAAAAAAAACTGACTTCCTTGTGTTGAGTTGATCCTCACTTTTAGCAACCCTCTATTGGTTTCTGACACTATAAATCTTAATGAGAGGAGATGCTCATCTTTATCCCTTGGAACCATGGGTAAATTTGAACAGTTGGAAATAGTTTGGGTTGGCAGGGCAACTCATGACCATACTATCAGAGCACCCTGTATGGCTGGCTGAAGAACCCTAAGTAAAACTCAGTGATGGGGCTAAACCCAGAATTTTAAAATCTCTTTTACTGGCTATAATCATTAAATGTTAAAGATTCTTAGCTTTTCTGTTTGTTTTATTTTAAAGGCAGAAAAAATAGCATCTCAAATGATAACAGAAGGACGTATGAATGGATTTATTGATCAAATTGATGGAATAGTTCATTTTGAAAGTAAGAGTTTTTGTTTTTTCTTGTCATAATGAAATGGTAGTTAACTGTTGCATATTTACTACTAAAACATATTAAATAAAACTTCCCTTGATTTAGAATATTTCTCCTAAGATGAATTTTTTCCCCAAAGAAATAATTTAAAATACTTTTAAAGGCATTGTGTGGATAAATCTACTTATTGCAGCCTTGTCTAAGCTAAGGAAAAATTTGAAATAGGAATTGTTATATAAATTTTTTATAAGATATTTATTGATTCCATATCATGTGTCAGGCATATAGAAATGATAGATGCTGTTCTTGTTTCTTAGCAGCTCATTAAGCTAATGGAGACACACAGGTAAATAGATCCCTTGACTTTCTCATTGTGTAATAATACCTCAGTCTTTATTTCCACTTAAGTTAGATGGCCTAGCTCACTGTTCCCAGAGTCATCCCCCCATATGTCAAATTTTAATTTTAAATACTTTGCTCTGAGCACAGTCTCTCTCGGACCTGGATTCTATGGTCCATTATTTCAATTTCCTTTTTACAGCAACCCTCAGACGCTCACTTATTGATACTGTTTCTGTAACACTCTCACTCTATATGAAGTCCTCCATCTTTTCCATGCTTCAACCTGGATAGCTAGCTACTGTTTCTTAAGAAGAGTCAGAGCACCAGACATAATAATATGCCACTGAGACGAGGTTTCTCCACTGGAAATTGTTCCAGTGAGGGATCCTTGCCTTCTGCTGACCAAGAGTGTCCAAGAGAGACTCATTGAGCAAACTGTTACTGAGGCAGCTTGAGAGGCAGAGGTAACTCTTGAGAGGAAGAAGAGAGGGACATGCGACACTAGCCTGTCTCCCAAACAGAAAGGTTTTGGACTTATAAAAGATTCGAGGCAGGAAAGGAACATGATGTTTATTCATTATTGAATTGTGGATGGATGAGGGAAAAGTAAGATAATGGAAATAGGGGTGTTTATATGATATGTAAAATAGATCCGATTGTAAAAGTTTTGGGATTGGTTGATATGATGTACTCTGGAATATTATGCTTGCAGAACTTTCTGTGGTACTGGTTGGACTCCTGCTGAGAGGACTCATTCTTTCTTGACCCTCATGGAAAGTCACAGATCAGTTACCGTATGAGGCATCGCACATGTTTAGGAGACTGGCTCCTCAGGCTGGTGTGGTTCTAATAGGGAACTCGCTGCCATCAAGTTGATTGTGACCCGACGCAGCCGTCCATCGTGTTTCCAGGCTGTTAATGTTAATGGGAGGAGACTGCATATCTTTCTTTGAGGAGCAGCTTGTGGATTCAAACAACTTGAGTATTTGTGGCCTTATTATTAACAACACTGCTCTATGGACTATGAGTCACCAGACCTCCTTATGGGATAGTGGTGGTAGGAGGTATTGTGTGCTGTCAAGTTGGAATAAATCCATAGCTGCCCCTTCAGTGGGCTTTCATAGGCAGTTAATTACAGAGGAGGAAATTGCTCATCCTTCTCCCATGGAGCAGCTGGTGGATTCAAAGCTCATGCTTGGTTGAACATAAGTCTGGAAGTAGGGCTGGTTTGTATTCTGCACTGTGGATTTTATCTTCTTTAATCTTTAAACACAGAAGTGTGTCCCATTGTTTGGTTTAAGGTCACAAAGAAGCAAGGAGCAGGAAGCATAGTAATTAATAGACAAATAGAGTTTTGGGTCCCTAGAGGCTTTCATGGAGCTGCCAAATGAACAAACAAATATCTCTTGAGAGATACGGAATCGGGGTGCTCCTAGGAGGCAAAGATGGTGAAACTTTGACTCATATACTTTGGGCATGTTGTTAGGAGAGACCAGTCTTTGGGAGAAGAAATCAAGCTGGGAAAAGTAGAGGGTCAGTGAAAGAAAGATCTTCAGCAAGATGGATCGATACAGTAAGTGCTTGAGCATGTGGGTGATTATGAAGATGGCACAGAATAGAGCAAGGTGTTGATCTGTTATTCATAGGGTCACTAAGTTGTAAGTCTCCTTGATGGCAACTAAAGATAAGAGAAGCTTGCAAGGTCTTAACCTGAAAACTGAGAATTCAAGATTGTTATTCTTCAATACTAACTAGACTTCTGGATATCATTTCTTTGGGTCAATGTTTTCTTACTCTGCAGTGACAGTTGCACATTTTCCCCCTTTGTTTTTCTCATTTCTGGCTTTCGTCTTTCTTCTTCCTTCATTTTTTTGGGGGGAGAAAATACCACAATAGTTACAGTTACAACAAAAAAAGTATTTTTATTTGGCATATAGATTAAAGTGAAAACGAAAGGTAGGAAATGGGAGAGCCTGTGATAAAAGCATTTTCTTTTTTTTTATATTTTATTTTATTTTTTTAAATAATTTTAATGAACATTTACAGAGAATTTTTTTTTTTTAAATTTTTATTTTATTTTATTATTTTTGTGTGCGTGTACTGTCAAATCAGATCTGACTGGTACAGGAGGAGATTGCCCCTCCTTCCCCGGCAGAGCATCTGGTGGATTCGAACCGTGCACCTCTGGGATTGTAGTTGCAGCTTCTTGCCACTAGGCCACCAGAGCTCCCCAACATTTACAGAGAATTTGGATTTCCATTCATTCATTGCTGCACTTCTCTCCCCGCCCAGCCCTCTCCCCCGCCCCCCAGTTCGCTCCTCTCTTTCAAAAGTAAAAGAAAGACTCCCTGGTACACAATCCCCCCGCACCCCTCTCACTGCCCCAAGTACATTCCACTATGCAACCTTAATTGTGGAATCTTGTGGTAACCATAATACCCTATCATACATTGCTTTTAAATTATTCAGTCCCTCATCTGTTTCAGTGCAGTATACACAATTTATCCAGTTTTTCTCAGTCTTACCCCCACCATGATATCAGTCCCGTTCCACAGCAGTGGCACCATGCAATATTTGTCCTTTTGCGACTGAGATATTTCACTCAGCATAATGTCCTCCAGGCTCACCCATTTTGAATAATATTGAATGAGTTTCTTTTTTTTTTTTTAAGTTCCTTGTTTTTCAATGCAGCATAGTATTCCATTGTGTGAATATACCACAGCTTCTCTACCCATTCGTTTGTTGATGGGCACCTGGGTTGTTTCAGCTCCTTGCTATTGTGAACAGAGCTGCAATAAACATGGGTGTGCATATATCTGCTTGGATGCCAGTTATGGTCTCTTTGGGATATATTCCCAGTAGTGGAATTGCTGGGTCAAATGGTATCTCTATTTGCAACTTTTTTTTTTTTTTTAAAAATTATTTTTGTGTGCGTGTACCGTCAAATCAGATCTGACTGGTACAGGAGGAGATTGCCCCTCCTTCCCCGGCAGAGCATCTGGTGGATTCGAACCGTGCGCCTCTGGGATTGTAGTTGCAGCTCCTTGCCACTAGGCCACCAGAGCTCCCCTTATTTGCAACTTTTTGAGAAAGCGCCATACCGCCTTCCACAGTGGTTGCACCATTTTACATTCCCACCAACAGTGAATAAGGGTTCCAGTTTCTCCACAACCTCACCAGCATTTGTTGCTTGCTGTTCTGTTAAATTTTGCTGTTATGACAGGGGTGAGATGATACCTCATAGTTGTTTTGATTTGCATCTCTCTTAGAGCTAGGGATTTTGAACATTTCTTCATGTGCTTGTTGGCCATCTGAATGTCTTCTTTGGTGTAAAAGCAATTTCTTAACGTCCTGATTTCTTCCCTTGCTTTGGCTTCTTGGTGCTCTAGTACAATATTGAGTTTCTTCCAATACTCAACTCAGTCTTTTCTTCCTCCTATTGTCTTTGTGATGACCTTTTGTATTCTTCATAGATGATATTCTTGATATCCTCCTACAGCTTATCTAGTGGTCATTCATGAGTGCTCAAAGCTTCAAACCTATTCTTGAGATGGTTTTTAAATTTAGGTGGGGTAGACTCAAGGTCAGTGTCATTCATGCTTTCTTTTTTCACTCATGCTTTTTTGACACTCCCCCCATCTCCCACCAATGCCTTCTATGAGATCCCCTACCATACCCTTTTTCCTTGCTTTCTCTACTCTTTAACGTTTTTCCCCCCTGTCATTGTTACAGGGCTCTATCTGTCCTCTCACTTATCCACGTTTTACTGTAAGGTTGAGACCAACTCATAGCTGATTTGTCATTGGGTTTTTTTGAGGCTTTAATCTCACGAGAGGAGATTACCCAGCTTTCTCCTGCTGAGTGGCTGGTAGATTCGAACTGCCTGCCTTTGAGTTGGCTGGGCAACTCCTTACCCACTTGACCACCAGAGCTCCTTTCTGTGGTGCCTTTAAATTTTCTTTTCCCCCCATTTCTTTAAATACATGAGCTTACTTATTTGCGACATATAGAAAATTCTATTTCTGACTGGATTTGGATTTGGAGGTAGAAGCTTTCAGAGAGAACAGCCTCTATCCTGGCATTTTTCTTCGTCCTCCTTCATTCTCTTGGCCAAAAGCTTAGAGTACTCTGCAGCCTCCTCCTCATTCTTCTTAGTGTGCTGTTTATTCGGTGAAATATGCCGCCAGTGCTTGTGCTGCAGGACACGTGGAGTATCAAGATGCTGAATCTTGAGTGCTTTGGTCCGGGGCTTCTTGCCTTCGAGTGGCTTTCTCACAACACAGTGATGGACATCATCTTCCTTAGAGAGGCTGAGTTTGTGAATTCTGCGAGCTCTTTAGGGCCCCAGGTGATGAAGCACAGTAGTATCAGTCAGTCCTGGCATATCCTTCACTCTTTTTTCACAATAAGCAATTTGAGAATACTCAGATTGGCATCCACAATGCAACCCTGGGCAGAGTTGCGCTTCCTCTCATCAGTTCTCTGTGGTCTGTAACAAGAGTGCCCCTACTCAGCAGCAGGTGAACTCGACCACAGGTCAAGATATCCTGTTTCATTGGAAAACCTTGCTTGTCATTTCCACTACTGATCTAGATGACATATCCCTTCCACTCATCACCAAGAAAGTCAGCATCAGCTTCTGTGGCCATTCGCTTCTCATAAAATGT